ACGTATTTACGTTGTGGATATCTATGGGCTCCGGTAACCACTTAATACCAGGTGGGCTGTGAGCTCGTCCACCCATCTATGCAATAAATAAATAAAAATGTCACTTAATAAAGTTTTCACTTTAACAAACAGGCAAAATAAAGTTTAAACATCAACAATTATATTTCCGGTACTTTATAATGTGATTAGATCCATGGTGAGGACACTCGGTGTAATTTAGTTTGATAGCTGAATGTTTATGGAGCGAGAGAGTACGGTACGGCACGGAGTGGCTTCCGACACTCCTCGATATGGGAAGTGGCTTTAGTACACGGAAACAGGCGCACGTCTGCCTTCCGTTCATTCACGCACAAATTATGGATGTGGTTTATGTGGCTACTTGTTAAACAGGAGAGAGAGAGAGAGAGGGAGAATATTTTTTATTATACACCAAAAAAACACAATAATAAACAATGCGAAACAAATACAAAAAAAAGTACAGTTGGTGGTCTTATCGCTAAGAGCGATGTCTTCCAGACAACCATAATGTGGACCAGAATCATTTGGAAGCGAATTACGGAGGGAAATAAAAATAAAAATATTTAAATAAAACAAGATTTAGAGGTGTGTACAATGAATTGACTAAGATTTCAATTCGATATTTATTAATAAAGCTAAATATATATTTTATTTATAATTTACGTTAAGCAGCGGCTTGGCTCTGTCCCGGTTATTGCTTACGTCCGTAAGCGACTCACCATCAATCAAATGGGCCGTATGCTCGTTTGCCTACTAAGGGCAATAAAAAAAAAATTATCGCGCTCAAGGCACACAACGCGAATGCCACCTTCAGACACGAGGTCTGGTTAGGTTTTATTTGTTTATGTCACATCCAACATTTTATTAATTCATTCGTTACGAGTGCAACTAAAACACAAGGTCGCTCTTTGGCAGCCATTGTTCACAGTTAACCGCTTACTAATTGATTTATCTTTTGAATATTTGAGTAGGTTCACAAACCGGTACTCAGCCCGCGACTGTCGTGACGAGGGAGTTGATTGACGAACGATAGTTGTTACCAATGACAATTCGCTAATCGGGTCCAGTTCTAATTGTTTTTTTTCTTCTCCATCGCTCCCTCATTACTGAGGATCGTGACTCCGTTTCAGCTTGTAAACTGCCAGCCTCCATCGATTCCGGTCAGTTGCATGGTGCGCTAAGTGGCGCTAAGTGGTCTGTTGGTTTACTCGGAGATCTGGTCGGACCAACGTTTGGGGCTTCGGCCTCTAGGACATTTTCCTTCTACGTTTCCAGTGACCATCAGACGTTCCAAGTTATCTACGCCTCTGCGGGCAACGTGGCCAAAGTAGCGCATGATGCGTTGCAGACAGGTGGTAGACAGGCGTTGAGCGTTCTCCATTTTTAGCTGTTGTAGCGTAATTACTGGTGGTAGGACCTCGTGTGAGTCCGCACGGGTGGATACCACCACCCCGCCTGTTTCTGCCGTGAAGCAGTAATGCCTTTCGGTTTGAACGAGCAAACAGACCTGTTCATCACACAATGTTTGCCCGAAACGGGAATCGAACTTACGACCCTCGACGCAACAGTCAGGAGTGCCAACTACTGCAACACCGAGTCAGTTTCTATTCAGACCTCGTTTTCCATTAGAAATTAGTTACGAAAAAAACAAGACGATTGCAAAGTTAAACCGGAAATGTAATAAATTAATATTCAATACTTAATGTTTATAACCACAAGTTTGCCCGTTACGCTTTCAAGTTAAGTCTTCAGTCTTCACTCTGTCAACCGATCGTGATGAAATTTATCACATACATACGTTTTTAGGGATACAAAAAATTACATAGAGTCCTTTTCACACAGAACAAAAGAACCGTTTACGAAGCATCGATCGATTTTTTTATACGTTAACGCGAATGAAGACTCGAGTAAGAGCTGTTTAGTTTGTAAGTACGCAAGTACATAAGCTATATTTATATCGTATATTTGTGGTAATCGAGGAATTTTACAAATATCTTAGATTGAGCATTACATTGTAGAAAGTTCTCGTGCTCAATAATGCGATCCGTTAAGCCTGCTAGACTCTCCAGTTTAACTTGCTAATGGGATGGATTTGGGGGGTAGTAATGGGGGTCACTTATTTGATTAAATAAACTTTTGACAAGTATATATATACATGCGTTAAGATGATTTACGGGTTTTCATATTTTCATTATTTCCAGTTCTGATTTGGAAAGTCAGAGCTCCTAGGGAGTATTAAAATTAGGATAATTAATGGTCATAAAATTGTAAGATCAAATTATGACCTGGAAAAAGATTATACCAAGCTTTACTTACAGTCAGATGTAGATTAGAAAAAACAAAAAAATATAAATAAAGCCTGGCGAATTTGCTAACCCTGGGCCTAGCAAGGGCGATGCTTCGATGAATCTACCAACAGATCGGAATCGTGACCCACTGAGAAGATCCGATGAGCAATTCCGTGGGCTGACCACGATCCTTTTCTGTCTTTTATGGCAAGTTACACGTCCATAAAAATGTCAAGAATAATAATTAAACACCCAACAATAGTATCTATATTAGAAAATCGTTAATCGTTTATTGGCGTCGATGCGTTCCAATACAATTTTTTTTCCCACCTTTGCTGATAGCCTTGAGAGGCTATTTTAGCTTCGCCCTAACATGTAGGTCAGCTCACGGGGCTCAAACCGGAGTGTTGTTAACACTGGCCCTAGCAAGAGCAGTGCTTCGCAGAATCTACCACTGGATCGGAAACGCGACCCACTGAGAAGATCCGGCGAGAAACTCAGTGGGCTGTGTTTATGGTTAATTCGCTCGTCGAGCCCTTCGTCGTCCAATACAAAAATGTTAAGCTTGTTTATCATAGCGTAATATTCAAGTCGAGTTCGTCGGTTACATGCAATCGCGACCGAATCCGGCTCCATCATTAATATTTGTAATTCATCGAGTGTCCACAGGGATTAGAATACCACTTTAAGACTTGCACTAAAACTGTGTCAATTGAGCAGCATTGTAATACATCCTTTGCACTAGACCTTCCTATGAGGCTTGGTGAATAAAATTAAATATTTAAAGTCGTCGTGGCTTAAATAGTAGAACGCCTGATGTTATCGAAAGACGCGGTTATATCTTGGTTCATCATCGCTAAACTCAAGTGGTTGCCAATTCGCCTTCGCCGTAATACTAATGTTCTTTTTTTACTATATTTTAGTCTCAGAATACAGTACAATCTGTATTCTGAGATTTTAGTGAGCAATAACGTATGTTCTCTCTCTCTTAGACTTAGAACTCGGGTCTAAGGTGGGTGGCCGCATTAACGTGTTTGATGTCTATGGGCTCCGTGACAATTTAACACTAGGTGGGCCGTGAGCACGTCCATCCATCGTAGCAATAATAAAAAAATAACAGTAACTAGAAATGATATACCAATCAATGATTAGTATATCATTTTGTATATCATTGGTATATCAATGAATACAATTTGAACGAAGAATTTGTTACTAATACATTCAACTGTTCCGCTTATGTATTCCCATAATTCCGTTATTTATTTATTTATTCGCAACTGTATACCAACATTAATAAGCGAACTTTGCGTAATGTTGGTACCGAGATCCTTAAGGCGGCTCGCTTTGAGATAAAATCAAAGCATAGCGGTAACCGGCTGAAGTTGTTAGCGGTTACATTGATTAACTGGTATTTCTCAGTAATTGAACGATCTTGTTAAGCTGTTTTCGAGCCATGTTACGATAAACAATATTGTTTTATTAATAGTCAAATAAATGTGATTCTAACAATAATTTTCACGGATCTCTCATCATGGGGTTTTGGAACACACGTAATGATCGGGTATTCATAAAAAGTGAAAATCGCGGTAAGAACTTATATACATATAGTGTATAAAGTGTAGTGTATAGATTAAGATTCAACGATTCTTTATAAGTATAATAATTATCTCAGCAGGCAGCAGCGTCAGCACACTCATCGAAGGTTATGATTTTCATCGAAATGCAAGTTAACCCACAGACAGTCCAGACACTGAGTTTCTCTCCGAATGCTCTCAGTGGATCGTGGTTCTGATTTGGGGTAGATTCAGCGAAGCGCTGCTGTTCTTACTAGGGCTGATGTTATCATAGTGTCAGGCTGAGACCCGTAAGCTCGCCTACATACCCGATGAAGCCAAGATATCCCCTCGAGGCTATTAGGCAGTGGATAGGAAAAAAGAAAAATTTCTGCCATACTTGTTTGTTGGTTTATTTATTTTTAGTAAAATGGAAACAGAGAAAGCTTTCTTGCACACCAAAACACAATTAACATTCAAAATCAGTCAACAGGCAGGTCTAATTGTACAATGGGCGTTCTTATAGCTAAAAGCCATCTCTTTCGTTTTATCTACAAAAATTCTGAAAACTGAGTATTGGCTAAATTGAATGGAACGTTATTTTATAACAAATACAATGCTTTTTCATTATTACAATAATATGTGTAATTACGATAAACTTGAATGTAATTGACTTGATTGCACAGGGCGTCGACCTGAAACTTAAAATAAAAACGAACAAGTTGCAAAATAAAATACAAGAATACGTGTATTTTAAAAGTATCACCTTATTTTGCTTATAAAAAAAACATTGTAAATAATACAAGTAGGTACTTACTTGGGTCACACTGCGCCATCTCGAATACATTATCTTCTTTATCAATGGAGGTACGTTTCATCTCGACTGTTTATCTGTTTTTATTTAGTTTATTGTTTGTGTCAGTTGGAAAATTGCCACTTTTAAATAATATAGTTGTGTGATTTCTTTTTGTTGTGTTTTTAAAATGTTGCAGTGTGAAATCGATTCTTATAAGGTATCAATCAAATAACGTATTTTGAATGTTGTTTTTGTTTGTCTTTTTGAAAGTGTGACTTATGTGTGGTATTTTTAAAATGAAGGCCTCCTTCTATCATATAACAGACAGGGCAACGATTACAGAAAATGATGGAAGAAGGTAATGTAGTGCTGCCTATTTCTAACTGCATAACATTACAATCTATGCAAATTATTATGTTTTCTCTTTAATTTTGATGACATTGAAGCCTGTCATTGTCAAATAGATATCCTTGACATCAGAAGAGGAAATGGTGTTCAACTGATATTTGTTTTTATCGTAGATTTTTTTATGTCACTAGACTAAATCTAATAGTATATAGTGACATATTAATTGGTATTATAAAGCGAGTAATGGCTAAGCCTTTATTCGAGGATTTTTAATTATGCCTGGTAGACAGCGGCACTGAAGCTTCAGCAGACCATGGGCTTCGGTGACCGTTTAGAAGCAGGTGACTCGTGTCTCTCATTCGGGTACAATAAAAGAGGTTAACGATAAAGGTAGAGGCTTAGTGACTTATCCCTACTAACAGCTTTCAGCAGGCAAAAACTCACATACATACAGCCAGTGTTGTTTGTAGACATCCTTAAAGGTTAAAGTTATTTACATAGCAAGCATTAGAGGACAATAATATATGTTTTATGGTAAATCTGCTATTGACATGAATAACAGAACGTGTAAATAATCTCAGTTCACTATTTTAACTTGAAAACCGGTTTCGTCAGATCTATGGCGTGTCTTTCATCTTTGCAATAATTTAACATCCATTTGTATTTGAATTATAACGTTACTAGGGACCCGCCCTCGCTTCGCTTCGGAAAATCTAATTTATTATTGATTTCTCCACTATTTAATGGATGTTATTATACATATAAACCTTCATCTTCAATCAATCTATTAAAAAAAAACCGCATAAAAACCTGTTGCGTAGTTTTAAAGATTTAAGCATACATAGGGATATAGGGACAGAGAAAACGACTTTAATCTTCAATTTTAAATAATTATCCGCTATAAACTATGCTGATATAGAAACTTCATTGGATTTTTTGGAAATTCGAGGAGTTTCACGTCTTTATTCCACTTGTGCACTTTCTTACTCACACATTATATGGTAAACATTCGCAATTACAACGAAATCTAAAGAAACACTTGTAATCGATAATTATGGTCAATCTCACTTCAGATATTCCATTCAATATGTTATTTTTGTTCTTTATTTCTTGTCTCGAAATCCCTAATACCAGGGTTGTGAGTTTTTCAGTTCATCTCTATTTACCAAACATGGTTAGTGGTAACTGTTCACCAACAGGCTATTGTCAGCTCGCCACAATATTATCTTAATCTTAATCAATATAATATTATCACAATATTATATATAGTATTATCGATCACAATAACAAAATACACAAATCGAAACTTGCTCTTGGCAACTCTAGTAGTGACGCATCTCTAATATAGAAGATGCGTGTCTATGCATTATTATAGTCTATGGTCAGTGTCCTAGTAAGGTAAACACGTGTGGTCTCCTACAAGGTTGGGTCCTATAATAATATACAATGAGCAATGGAATTTTTTTTTGTTTTGGTCTCAATTTACCCACCTGTTTATTCATAATTTGTTTATTCACAATTAACTTTGTTGTTGTAATTTACTTAGTTTTTATATAATTTAATATAGCGTGTAAACGATTCTTTAGTATATTCTATGTGAATTAAAAAAATTGTACCTTTTGAACACTCACCCCTAGTAAAAATTATTTAAATTTGATTATTTATTGGTGTCGTCACGTGGTGGAGTCAAGCAAGAGGTCATTTTTACTTTAAGCCAAAATTGTTTTTTTTAATCGAATAATTTGGCGGACAACCACAGACAATCATAGACAGGCCAAGACCTTCGTTCTTAAAACAAAAAATAAATTGAACAGTATTGCATCAACACAATTGTTAGAAGTTAAAATGTGATGCTCTGATTAAAATGAAAAATGGTATATTACTGCACTGTATATTTCTCGTTTGAGTGTGGAGATGGTTTATTTTTTTTATTCTTGTGAAACTGTTCTGATTCTTAGTTTCTTACGTATACTTCCTCTTTTAATTCTAATTAACTCGTACGTGGCGTACGTGAACTGTGTGTTCATGAATGTTCACAGTTGGCTGCCGGAACAATGTATTTACATAATTTGAACATTAACGCGTCGCCAAAAAAGATAATGAAATTTTTTGTTTGATATTTTTTAATCGTAAAATACAGCTTTATTTCTAAGAATATTGCAGCAAAGGACGGTTTTTAGGTGAGCAAGAGCATCAAGTGCGTTCGAGTTATTGTCAGTCTGTTCGTGAAAATTTATTAAAATATTAGATGATCAATTTACGCCGCGTATAGAAATATGCGTATTGTTATGGAATTATAAAATTAAAATAATATAAATTAGGATAAAAATTGAAAGCGTATATTTTTAACGTGTCACGCATTGCTGAGTTTACGCGGTAAAAAAAAACCACAGACTATTCAGGCGCCTGAACACGTATTGACTAAGTAAAGGCCAATAGCAAAATTAAAAATTAAATTATCATGACTATTATTACTTACTACAGTAATCTTATTATTATTATGAGGTACTCGTTTCAACTAATTTTGTCGAAAAAGGGTAATACAACAAAAAAAAAACTGAAAATAAATACATTTTGAAATTTTAACGGAATATATCTAGTATATATAATAATATATAACGAATAATTTTAAAGCAAATTTTTTGGTACCTTTTTTCATGTTAATCTTTATGCAATCACATCTCGACGATCATTTAATTTAGTAATTATACGTTAATTTGCGAAAATTTCATGAGCAATTTCGGTCCTTTTTTTCCTACCTGTGCTGATAGCCTTGAGAGGCTATATCAGCTTCTCTTTGACGTGTACGGGGCTCAAACCAGGTGTGTTGCTAACACTGGCCCTAGCAAGAGCAGTGCTTCGCAGAGTCTACCACCGGATCGGAAACTCGACCCACTGAGAAGATCCAGTGAGAAACTCAGTGGGCTGTGTCTGTGGGTTAATTTACTCGCCGAACCCTTCGTCGAACGCAAGCGACGGGTTCGGCGAGAACGATGACCGGTATTTGAGGTACCTATGTACCTTTCGGTCCTGTTCGCAGATACATATATTACAGGGAACACCTACCAGTAATTTATACTTTCTCACCAATCTCCTTAAGTTCTACCATCTAGCAGAGTGTGTGGTTAACTTAAAATGTATTTGGAATATCTTTTTCTCTATTCTTTTTGCAAAAGTAACGGTAAGGAACTAGATTAGGGCAGCCGTTATTCCGATAAAAAATGGAGACTTCCACTTTATTGCAGTGGTACCTATTTATGCTGTAAAATCTATGGGCTCATAAGGTCTCATAACTCGTAAACTCAGAAGGTCATAACTTATAACTTAAGGAAGGCCGCGAACCTTTCTAAATATTGAAAAAATATAAATAGACCGACATAATATATTGCGAAAACTACCTTCCTTTTGAACAAATTTGAATAGATTTTATATAGTCACTAATAAAACTCAACCTTTAAACCAGCTTTTAACACAATAAAGTACCTATAGGTACTGTAATATTATTTATCGAACAAAACAACCTGATTAACATTCAGAGTGTTATCTCTGGGATAAGGTTGTCAATCTTCGAACATGTTTTACAACTCAGCTAACGAATCACGTCGTGTAAATATTCCTTTGATTTACATATGTATTTAACGCTTGTCTTACGTCATTGCAAGACAATGATTGCTCGCTCTGGAATTCCAAGATAATGCGCATTAGTTTGGAGTACAATAACATGTTTTAATGAATGAAAATGGGAAAAATCAAACCCGGAAAATTATAATTTGCGTAATTACTGGTGGTAGGACCTCTTGTGAGTCCGCACGGGTAGGTACCGCCACCCCGCCTATTTCTGCCGTGAAGCAGTAATGCGTTTCTGTTTGAAGGGCGGGGCAGCCGTTGTAACTATACCGAGACCTTAGAACTGATGTCTCAAGGTGGGTGGCGCATTTACGTTGTAGATGTCTATGGGCTCCAGTAACCACTTAACATCAGATGGGCTGTGAGCTCGTCCACCCATCTAAGCAATAAAAAAATTTAGTAATAGTATAATTAATATCACTGCACAGATTATATATTTCACGGTCCTTGTTGACCTGGCGAACTAGATACTGCTACCTTTTTACAATCAGTAATCATTTTGGGCACTTTAAGTTATAAGCAGTAGTACAGTTTATGTTTGCGTGCCGTTGTATGTGTGGTTAATTAAAAAATCCCGTATAAATGATTCCGTTAAATAAGTACCTACGTTCGGTTCGTATTCGCCGCCGTGACGTCGTTAGTGGCTATTTGTACTGTTTTATTTACGGTGTGCTCAGTGCGAGTTTTTTAACGTTCTCGATAGCGTAAAAGTTAACTCAAATTTGTAAGGAGTTGGAACAGCGCCCCTAGCGGCAAACGTAGGCATATACTGATTGTGAGTCCGCACTGGTTGGTACCATCATTCCGGCAATGCGTCATGATAATCGCCTTATCGTTGCTGCCGCTGGCTACTCCCCGAATCCAGATCACGCAGGAGCCAGTCACCGTCGACGCCCTAGATACGTCCTTAAGGAACCATCAGATCCAATAACCCTTGCATTAGACGCCTTCCGCTCTAACAGTAGGAGTAGAGACCCCGGTAACCATACTCATGAACTCGACAAAGAGTTCGACGAGAGAGGTCTCCCTTGGAGGCGCTCGGGTAGCTGTCAGCAAATCCCGCTCCTTCTGGCTGAGCCCTTGCTCGCCCACCTGTCCTTGTGAAATTGGAAAGACCTCCGGGCCAACAGTAACCCCTCAATCATAAAAAAAACACCATTCAATCTGTTTCTGCCGCAAACCAGTCACGTGGCCCAGTTTGAGGGTCCTACAGCCGGGTTTCAATTCAATTGGTTAGGCTCATGTCTTAAGGTGAGCTCTTGTAACCACTTAACATCAGGTGGGAAATGAGCTGGTCCATCCAAGTTAGAGTCTATCTTCAATAATTTTAAGTATCTAAGAAAGGAAAACGAGGTAACACTAAAATACTAAATATATTATGATATTAAATCGGCAGAGCTGTTTCTGAGATTAGCGTGCACAAACGCACAGACAAACAGATAAACAGGCAAAAATTCTAAAAATCACTTTTTTGGGTTCTATTGCGTTCATAAAGCCCCCTATAACAGTTTTCCTGAGATATCTTCCATGTACAGACAGCGACCTGTTACGATTTTATTATATGTATTGATATCAGAACAACTGTTCCCACTGTGCACTGTTTTAACTTCTGTTAGTTATTATATTTAACGGCCGTCTGGTGTAGTGGTAAGTGACATAGTCACTACATGAGGGGGTCGCGGGTTCGAATCCCGCCAAGGGAAGATATTTGTATGATAAATATAAATGTCTTTGCCAGGGTTATGGATGTATGTTAAATATATGTATGTGTATAATAAAAATCTTACATTGATTTCCGTTATCTGGTTCCTGTAACACAAGCTCTTTACGAACTTATCACGGGACCAGTTAACGTGGCGTGATTGCTAGTAAATATTTATTTATTTATTATTTATATTACTTATTATGTACAAACGAAGAGTAAGTAAATAAACCACTGCCTCCGATGAGAATACTGACCTGTACTGCGTGGTATAATAGTCATACTTACCAGTCGACAAACGAAACGATCAAACATCCACTTAGATCAAAGATTTCCCTTTTGTAAATCATCAATCATTGTACAACTAAATTGCTCTAGTCTCAGTGAAATCTAGATAGCTGACGGGTAAATTGAGCTAGCACGCATGTCATTACCGACATGGAAAACGTCGTAATTGTAAGCGGTCGTTTAAATAGTGACCTACTTTTATTTTAATAAGTCCATTTGCGGTAGATAATCGGAATATTATGCTTAAATTGATATTGTGTGCCCGCATGGCTCGGTGCTAACATTCAGCCTGTTTATGCCACTAAACAGTGTTTTAAAGAATAGAATCGTTTATAGTATATTATACAATGGATAATTTTATATGAAATCTCAAATTGAGTACCTAGCGACATTCAGAAATTCTTTGTTTTTACTTAATAAAGTAATTTGAGTTATTATGTTCGCCAGTGCCCATTTTTGCACGCATAGCTTAGCCATTAACAACGTCAATAATAATGTTAAGAGCATGAGTAATGAGTGTTTTTATTGTACGTCTAAGCTAATAAAAAATACGTTACGAAAATAGGCCTTCAAAACTGTTCGTTTGTCAACGAATTCCGAACGCTTTGATTGCGAAGAGCTGCGCAGATGATTTTTTTGCTAAGGACTATTCTATTGCTAACCAGATGTTTTAAATTGTTCCTTTTTTCAGTATCGGGTTTATGATACAGAGTAGGTCTCGATGAAGTTGCTCGGTTGACCGACCAATGAAATGCTTTGTTCGGAACTTATTTAATACATGCACTTAGAGCCCGTTCACACATGGTCTCCGTTTTACTGGTCCGTTTTGTCGAATACGCTTTTTTTTCATCGATGGAGCATGGAGTTGTATGAGTGACTTCACATATGGTATAGTATTCAGTATACTGTAAAAAAAAAACGATCCAGTAAATTATAACATTCCATTTTGTCATCGAATGCTGGATGAACGGAATACGTGTCCGTCATGTTTCCGTACAATTTTACCTTCCATCAGATCCAATAACTCTTGCATTAGATACCTTCAGCTCTAACACTAGGAGCAGGCTGAGGAACCCCGGTAACTGTACTCGTCGAACTCGACAAAGAGGTCGACGTGCAACCTAACCCATGCATCAGTCCGCTGANAAGAGGTCGACGTGCAACCTAACCCATGCATCAGTCCGCTGAGTTTCTCGCCGGATCTTCTCAGTGGGTCGCGATTCCGATCCGGTAGTAGATTCATTCGCGAAGCAATTGCTCTTGAGTTGTTAGGTCTCCTTCGGAGGCGCTCGGGCAGTTGTTAGCAAATCTCACCCCTCCTGGCTGAGCCTTTGCTCGCCCACCTTTCCTGGTGAAGCTGGAAAGGCCTCCGGGCCACCAGTAATATTTCAATCATAAAAAAAAAAACAATTTTACCGGATAGAAACTGTGGGGGAGCGAGGGGGCCGGCGGGTGGTGAAGCTAGTCAAACAAATTTCATCCTGGTAGAATAGCGGCGGTATAACTACGAATTTGCTTGTGAACATCGTATCCAGTAATGACGGATACGTTGAACGTTATACGGTGCCTATGTGTGAACAAAGCATAATTTTTTGCCGTTTCCGTTAAAACGGGTACCGTATACATGGACACCATCGATGATGGAGAGAGACCATGTGTGAACGGGATCTTATATTGAAAAATTCGTAAGCGAAATTCAGGCGTCTGTTAAAAATCTTGTGGTTTAAGATAGCTTCCTACTACATGTAGACCTTTTGTATAGACATATTTTAGGGAATATCAGCTGTGTTGTATAACACTTAGGTGTGTAAAAAACTAGAAAACAAATAATAAAGTTATTTTTTTTCTAGTTAGCATAGCATAGCAAACAGAAATAAAAATAAAAAGCATTTTTTTGTTCTGGTGATTCTGCCAGCAGCAGCAGACTAATGGTATTAATATTATTGTATTGTTATCGATTCTCGTGCTTTTCAAATTGATCGGTCGTTTTGAAGTTAGTGAAAAGTACGTCACAAGATTAGTTATTAAAAACTAAATTTGGGCAAACGAAACTTGCCGATTGCCTTAAAATGGCTCGATTATCGCTTTAAGCATTTCTCGCAATGACACTAACATTAACGCCTAAAGCGATCGTCGAGTGGCGATCATGGGAACTAATCGAATGTGAAACAGATGTTTTAAAGTTTACAAATAGAGAAAGAATTCCAATGGAACAAAAAAATAGCGTGGCGTCTTTATCGAGATAGTTTTAAGTGGAAGAGAGGCGATGTCGAAGAGCTTAGTGTTGTTTTGGACCTCAACAGGTCAGCCATCCAGTCATCTTTTGCTTTAACAACAGTAAGTCGCAAGTGAGGTTATGTGAACTTGAATTATTGTTATTCTAAAATTTGTATTTATGTAGTAAATGTATATAATAGCACGTTTTTCTATTTTAGCACAATATAGCATCGTCGAACACGAAATTTGAACTTTTGCTAGTGGCTTCTTCGCAACAATCTTAATTTAGTGGAAGGAGTTTTGGCTGGGAGCAAGATCGTGGATTAGCTGGGGAGTGATACTGCAAACTAACAACATCTACGGTGCTGATTCTGTCGAACCTGGTGAATAGTGGAAACAGGTGAGCCTCTGAAAATTTTAAGGTCTATTTGAAATTTTTAACTACAAATGGATGAAGTGTGGACTTATTCAAAATATGTAATTTGTCGTCTACAGTTTATTGACCAGAATTCATATCATAATCTTTCGTATCAATCAAAGCAGTGTTTAGGTTAGCAAATCGAAGACGGAATGCTTTAAGTACCGCTTGGTATGGTACCGTATTGGATATTCTGGTGGTTGCGATCTCTAAATATAATCCGCCTTAGATGAAGTAGAATGAAGTCTTATTAATTATTAAAAATTTAAATTATTAAAATTCTTATTAATAATTAGCTGTGACCCAAGTTCAAGGTAAAGTGTCAGTGTAATTTTTTGTAGGGATGTGATATGTTTCGGGATAAAAGGTAGTCTATGTCACTCACCTGAATTAATAATTGAATTGTAAAAAAAACAAAATTTTTTTCGATGTTTCGTCATCTGCTTTGTTTCGAACTGAATCAAATAGAAAAACAAAAAAGTAGTGCGCGCACAACTTGGTGCACGTGAAAGAAGTGAAACTTCTTTTGCGGTGTATCATGGTTTTCATTATTTTTCATCCTTAAATCAAATTTCTCTTATAATAGGGAATGCTACGTATAAGAGAAATGACCTAGCTCGCTGAGTGGTTCGCGAGACGCGTTGTCTATTTTCTCACTCTCGCTCGTCCTAAATTGTATGTTTTCTCTCTAGCCGTAACGGATCTGTCGCGTGTTAAATTTTAATCTTAACACGCCTAAAGAAGTTTCAGTTCAAAAACACGCTTCCACATTTATAATATTAGTATAGATAACGGATTTATTTATTAACTGTTTCCCATATTATTGCTTACCGTATTATTGCTATTTTCAGAGTGTTGGACAACTGATTCTTCAATATTCAAGCAGATGCCACAGGAAATACCAAGTATGATATCATCATTTTACTACTATACAGATGGATAGACGTACTTTTGGTTCGGCTGATGGTTTGTGTGGATATCACTAGTGCCCGTGGATCTCACTTGAATGATACACGTCTTAATTGCATTTCGTAATACTTTGTGTACCTTAATCACCGGGGCCTTAGACCACAAGGGCAAGGTCAAGGGCAAGTATCTGCTTATGCAAATATACAGTCAAACTGTACCCTAGCCATCACAGAATATTAATTAGAAAAATAGCTAAGATCTGTAGTACTAAACGACAGACTATATTACAATGGATTTTAAATAATATTTGCAGGAATAACCAGATCTATCGAGCGACGTCGATTCTATAGCCGTCGCTTCAGAAACATGAGACCTAATCGTGATAGTGAGTGTGCTATTTATTAAAGATTAGTTAATTATTTAGGCTTAAAAAAAATCGTATTTAATTTCAGATCCGTCGGGAATCGGACCGGAATGGGTCATGGAGTTAGAGAGGTGCAGGGTAGAGTCTGAAGAAAAACTAGCTGATGCTGCTCTGATTATGGCGGAGGCGGCGCGCACGCAAGCCTTGGCAGCGAGTACTCAGGCTGACCTGATACGGAAGCTGGTAGAGCTGCTGGGGCGGTCTCTGGGGATGACACGAGAGCAACGGACAACAGAATAGGGATCCATACATTTTCTGTGTTGTATTTCATGAACTATAACTATAAAATGTTCTAAAAAGTTTCGCATTCTTTTGTTTTTATTTGCTTTGCCGTATTTTTCATAGCTGTGTATTGATGATACCTAATTTACTGCCGGTGTAAACAATACCATTTAGAATATCTAGCATAAAGCTATATACGAACATAATTTATTAACCAAGTTGACATCGAACCATCGTTTTCGTCGAACCCGTCGTTTACGACGAAGGGCTCGGTGAGTAAATTAACCCACAGATACAGCCCACTTAGTTTCTCGCCGGATCTTCTCAGTGGGTCGCATTTCCGATTCGGTGGTAGATTCTGCGAAGCACTACTCTTGCAAGGGCTAGTGTTAGCAACATCATCAGGCTTGAGCCCCGTGAGCTCACCTACTTGTTAGGGTTACGCTGATATAGCCTTTCAAGGCTATTAGCTTAGGTAGGAGAAAAAAAAAAACCAAGTAGTTACCGCTTATTATATAGTGTTTATTATTAGTAACTGGAGCCAACGAAATCGAAGTTCATCTGATTGAGTTTAAATAATTCAATTGAACCTTCAATTCCTTTCCCCATTTTAGCCATTCCCTAATAAAGAGTAGGCAGAAATAGAAAATTACTGAAACTAAATTTATTTATAGTATTAACACAGCAGTCTTGTCATGAATATTGTTGGATCGTATTATGGCAATAAGCCTTGTAGCAATACTAGTTACTAATACTAATGTGATTTATCGGACTAATGAAGCTATTTCGATCAATCGTAGCTGATCAAAATTTTTTATTATATAATTTTGAGTTATACAATTCTTACAGTAAGGCCCGTGAATTGTGAATCCATGTGAAAAATATAATATCACACAAAATTCGCTTTCGTCGGGGAAATCAGATGTTGTATAATGCAGTGTTATGTGAGCGAACAGGGATCGAATGTTAAATGGAATTGCTTAACAAATCATATTATATAACTTAAACAACGAGTGTTTGAATTCATTCAAGTGCTTATCAATAATTTTGAAGCGGAAATTAGTTTGTTTGTAGTACACAGTAACATTCATAACTTATAATAACAACTAGTGGCCCAGCAGTAGTCGAAATTCGACTATAATTAATTGAAATTATAAGTTTTTTAAACATTATTATGGTTCTATTGTCAAACACTATTATAATTCGATTACATAATCACAGTGTTCGCCAAAACAGCACTATAGATCAGTAATATTGAAGACAAGTAATATTAATCTATTCTCAATTCAACCACAATAACAAAAGTTTCCCAATTGACAGTAAACAAAGAGTATATTTTGTTGTGTCAAATACAACGTAGTGTCTGTAATGCTTTTTTATTGATTTAATGTGTTTTTTATGCATAATTTAAAAAAAATTATTTGCATTCTGCACTTCTTCTTTATATTCTCTACAAGTATAGGAAATTTCATACTTCTCCGGCCGGGCAATTTTCTTAAAAAGGGGTACAAAGTTTTTGCTTCACGTATTAATATATAGATAATATTTATTGGGAACAAATCACGAATGGTAATCCGGTCACAATTTAGGATTTCCTGTGTTATAGGCACCAGAGATTGATAAATACACTAATGTATGTGATGCAATACTTGGAATCCACAAGAGATCTTCGAAGTTGAATTAAAGGTTGTAATTAATTGTAAATAACGTTAGACCAGTCGTAAACTTGGCATACAGCCAACGAACTGAACCAATGACTTGGTCAAATTGGCTGGTAGGGGCTGGATGCGAAAGGCAAGAGACCGAAAAGAATGGAGTGCATTCGAAAAGACCTACCCTCAGCATTGGGTGGATGCGGGTTGAAGAAGTGAACGTTAGCGCGATTCAGATCCAACTTCATTTAATATCGTGAAATCGTGTAGGCTCAACGCCGTGGTTACAAAGTAAATCTAAAGACTGCCATATCGAGGTCGTCGTGGCTAATAAATAAGAAGTCCATTGTACCTGTATCGTACGCCGATGTTCAGATTCCGCAGGTATCACATTTTCTAGTTAATTACGTACTTAACACATGCTCACCAGTAGCTTCCGCGATGAAAAACCCGTCTAAGCAATAAAACAAAAACACCTGTACACTTGCAGTTTGATCTTTATTTATAAAGGAAGAGTTATGTAAGTCAAAACAAGCTGAGATTACAAAACTTCCTAGTTACTGAGTTGAATGCGAAATTACCATAATAGTGGTTGGCCACCTAATTCTAGTTGTAATTCACAATGCACACTGCAGACATACAAATTGCTTTATATTCCGCAAATGGAATTATGCTGACTGCTAACTACAATATTATTCTTGACGAGGGCTTAGTAAGACTGAGGGGAGGTTAAGGATCGTACAGTTATTAAAATTTGACACGATTCAATAATTTACACACATTCTAATGTTTTGTAGGAATGCATGCTGTAATATCGATCGAAAATACTTTTAAGAGAGCGTTCGTTACATTCATAAAAATAATGTTTGGAAATAAGTTCATCCTAATATTGCACAATATAAAAACTTGCCGGCTGTGTAATTTTACAAAAAAAAACATTAAATATTTAAAAAAAAACAGCGTGGAAAAATATTGAAATAAGCGCAACAGCCTTTAAGGTTAAAATAATATCACAACTAATACAGATATTATGTACATGTCCGTCGCCAATGTGTATTGTTTGCGGTTACTTCGGCTAGTAGTCTCCGACGTACCACGGTGGTCTGCCGGCGAGATCAGCGGAACCGCGCATTGTACATAGCAGGTTTTATTTTACATTGTCAGTCACGGTGTTCAATTTCTTTTTTGTTGCCCATTGTAGGCTGACGAGAATACGGCCCACCTGATGGTATGCGGATGGATTTTGCGGTAGGCAGCGGCTTGGCTCTGCCCCTGGCATTGCGGAAGTCCATGGGCGACGGTCACCACTCACCATCAGGTGGGCCGTATGCTCGTCCGTCTACAAGGGCAATAAAAATAAAGATGGGCGACGATATTCATATTGAGGCTCCGGAAGCCACATAATACAAATCGTTCTACATTAATTAAATAGCCACCAATATACTATCATCTCGAGATTATTTATTTTAAATATCAGCAGTAATCAGTACACGTGCTAAAATACGCAAAATAGCATATCGATTGGAGCTTTCGAAACGTCCACTTAAACGGTAACCGTCAACGACCCATGTGAATTGTCGTAAGTGGAATACAAATACAGTGCAGTGGCAATACTGTCACACAGAACGAGCCGGTGAAATAGTTTGTGTACACGTTGCAGCGTTATACTTCAATTTGTTGGTGCAATTTGTAGGGATGCTACATAAGATATTGTTTAGAGAGCTCAGTACAGGTTTCACAACCTTGTTTGACAACCCTATGGAAAATTGGGTGGAACCTTTTTTTTTTTTTTTCCTACCTAAGCTGAGAGCCTTGAGAGGCTATTTCAGCGTAACCCTAACGTTTGTAGGTGAGCTCACGGGGCTCAAACCTGATAACNAACCCTAACTTTAGTAGGTGAGCTCACGGGGCTCAACCTGACGATGTTGCTAACACGAACCCTAGCAAGAGCCGTGCTTCGCAGAATCTACCACCGGATCGGAAACGCGACCCACTGAGAAGATCCGGCGAGAAACTCAGTGGGCTGTGTCTGAGAGTTAATTTACTCGTCGAGCCCTTCGTCGCAAGCGACGGGTTCGACTAGAACGGTGACCGGTGCTTGAAGTACCTAAAAGCACCGTTAGTGGATCGGGAGGATCCGAGATGACGTGTTTTGGGCGACGTCGACTGCTTTCCATTCTGTTGGGTGGAACTAGGAGTTGTATACACTTAAAATATATATTATTATGTCGGCGCAACGTCACTACTTAGTTAACTAAAAATCTAAAAATGGTTAAAGTTAACTGTTTCCTTAATGTTAAGCACATCAACAACTGTTTGAGACGGTACTCAAGAAAACACATGACTAACACTTTCTACTACAAATGCAGCGGCTTGGCTCTGCCCCTGGCATTGCTGACGTCCATGAGCGACGGTAACCACTCACCGTCAGGTGGGCCGTATGCTCGTCTGCCTATATGGAAATAAAAAAAAAATGTAATTAAAAAAACAACTTTGGCATGTGGGTAGTCTCATATCAATGACAGGGCTGATCTATCTATAAATACGCCAGTCGTAATGTAGTACACGTGCAAGAAATCCCGTTAGAAAAATTTAAAAACATTACCAAAACAGTCAACACAGCAGCCCTAATAGGGAAAGCGAACAATACGACGCACAGGTCGCATCTATAAGTACTTCCTTACCTTTTGAACTGACCCAATCAAATCTTATTGTATAATATTCGAACTATAAATTCGAAACTTCATACACTCATCACAAGATATTCGAAAACTTAATTTCTATCTCATTTCGTTTTAATTTGACATAGGTACATATTGCGCTGTTAGCGCTTACTAATAAGGGATTTTACATGAGTCCCATATGTACACAATGGATTTTTCCTCTATCTATATACGTAATAGAAAGGCATACTCTATAGCAACAGATGATACCTTTCCCACAGGACTGGTAATATATGGTGTACCAATAGAGTAATACAAGCAACTTTTATCCCGCAAAGTTGCAACTTGTATGTTCATTATTCATTATTGACAAATAACAATAATAAATTAAATCCTGGTGAAACCACGAGCCACGCTTAGTATTTGTAAATTACAGAGATATAAATAATGTGACTTCGAAAACGATTGAGATTTTTGTAACAAAAGTTCTTAAAATAAAATCCTTCAACTGTTCAAAATGAATTTCTGTATCTTTGATCTTACAAATAAACTTAACAATAACGATTCTTAGATTACCTAAAAACCTCCTTTCAGAGACAATGTGTTTTATTTTTAGACTACAATAAATAAGATAGGAGTAAGTCACACTGGCACGGTTTGACCTACATATTTTGCATGTAAATATTTTTTGCAACAGACTACAAGAATATTTGACAAGCAAGCAAACTATTTTAATTAATGCTTTGGCAATAAATTTATTATAC